CTCTCTCATCTTTTTAAGTGGGAGAACTTGCACAATTGGTGGCTGACTAAATACTTTTTTGCCCCACTGTAAGTTGCAAGGCATCACTCTTTTACCTATAATTTTCTCAGTGATTACTGCAATTTGTGTTTTGCTCTGAATTTTAAATAAAGAATTGAATAAAAGTCCAAAGTTTAATGCCTTCTTTTTAAAGTTGATTCGAACTCTTTATTCAAGCATATTTTTAAAAACATTAATGGTAGTAAAATCATGAAATATGTATTAGTCAGAAATATATTCAGGTAAACAGGGAATTTGTTAGAAGGTGTCTTATGCCTGTAAATACAGTATTTTAAAGGAAGATAATAAATTGGGGAATCTTTGGGAGGTTTTTTGTTTTTGTTTTTACCTGAAAAATATTCTTAAAGGATGGGAGAAAGTTACTAGCTTAACAGGTACAAACTTAAATGTTGGAGAAAATATGCTTCCTATACCGGATAATTACATGGGGCTTCTGTGTGAGCTATATAATATATTGGTTGCCATAGGTCACCCCCATTTCCAAACTTCTCCATTCCAAAGTCCTCTTTGATGGTGTTTCCCTCCACCTCCAATGTCTCACCTGCAATCCTTCCAATGGGAGTTTTCCTATGAAAATCTAAATATTCTAGATTAAAATTTTAATCTTCTGTTTTGTTTTGGGTTTTTTGTACATGCTTCTGATGTGGCATTGGGAGCACTGTCAATGCAAAACTTTGATGATGGTATACATCCAACTGTGTATCTTTCAAAAAAGCTCTTGCCAGGGAAAGTATACAGCTCAGAAATGGTCAATGGAAAGCCTTTAAACCTGTGAGGTTGGGAATTCACAGCCACTAGTTGGATCAGAGAAAATGAAAGATTGTAACAGAAGACGTACAGACTGGTATTTGACTGTAACCCGGCAGGAAAACAATAGCAATTTGCTGATTTTTTACCTAGGTGTGGATCTGACCCAGATATCACTGGCTCCTGGGAAAGTTGATGTTCAGAAACTTTTTACTTAGAAGATAAAGTCACTTTTAATTTTGGTACAAAACAAATCTGTCTTTGAACAAAATTGTTTCAGTGGTAAAACTGTTATATCACCTTGCATGATGTCCAGTAAGAATTTTGAATACCAGTTACAGGATAAGAATTAGCAGATGTATCTTCTAAATATTAAGATTCACAACCGATATGGAGCAGTTATATGTGAATTTTGGCACTTAGAGGATCAGCCCTTTATTTAGAACTCGTTATGAAGTGGCTGCTAGAGTTGTTTGTCTTTGCTGGACACTGGCTATCTGTTGATGTCTGCTATATAAATTGGCTTGCATTACTACAGGGAAACGAAGTGCAATTATCTTATACTATTTGCTAGGACAAATGTTCTGTGTGAGGAGTGAGAAATCAAGGTTTTAGAATGTATTATTCATGAACATTATTGTATTCATAAAAAATCACTAAGAAGGTGAGCACTCTGAGCACTGAAATTCTTCTTTTACTTGGACTGCAAGCTGAAAAGGAAAAGGTTCTCTCCAGCCAAGGACCCTTTCTTTATTCCCTTCCATTCTACCTACTGGGCTGGCACACAACAGCAGCAGATTACAAGGAGTGGGGTCAAAAAAGGAGTCCCTTTCTCCTTAGCAAATTGGTTAGGATAGGGGATGAACTCGCTTTGCTTTCCATTTTAATTTGAATGTACCTAATTCATACCTGTTGAATGTACCTAATTCATATCTAAATACAATATTCACAGTTTGCCAAGTTTTGCAAGCAAAAACATATAATAAAAATCTATATTTCAGGAAATTAAAAAAAGACAAGAGTAATTGTAGAGTATATATAAGGCAAAATTATGTACAGAAATATGAACGTTTTTTCATATACACTTTTTAAAAAATCACAAATTGATATGAAAATGGAATAAAAGAAGATGCATTTGATGTTATTTAGAAGATGTACCAGCAACTGAGAAATGAGTTGAGAAATGACCCTCTTAGCCCCATAGTTATTCAGGGGGTAAGTCAGGGGACTAGTCATAATAAACTACCTGGGCATCCCTACTTGCTGGGGACATTCTCCCGGATTCATAGTATCACAAAGTTGGAAGGGGCCATGCTTTGTGCAGGAATTTAAATTCCCAACAAGTGGCTGTTTAGTCTCCACTTGAACACATTTAATGAAGAAGAGCTCATCACTTCTCTGAGTAACTAGTTTTACTGTCAAACTATTCTCACTATTGGGAAGCTTTTTCTAACACTGAATTAGGTTCGGTCTTCCTGAAATTAAAATCCACTACTGTATTCTGTGTTCTGCTCTCTGAGATGAGAGAGCAAGGATTTAACCTTTAACCTTCTATGTGATATCCTATCAAGTATTTAAAGAGTGTGATAGATTCTTAGATTCAGATATATGAAATCTGGCAGAGTCATTGAGAGTCAAGCAGCATACAAGTTTAATATATTAGTAGTAGTAGTAGTATTCCTGGATGCTCTGTAGGATTTTTCAGATGCAACAGTAGGCAATTATATTGAGGCCCTGACTTGCTGTGGAAAAATTAGATGAGAAGAGCCATCAGCACTACAGTTCCTAAAGGCTCTCTCCAGTTACAAATGGTCCAGAATGGCCTTTAGCTTACTGAAGAATTCCATGCAATTAAGCAGACTGATACACAGCTAGAGTGAGATGTTGTAAAAGTGCATAAGCGAACATTGGAGTTTGCCAGTAGAATTTCCTTAAACATTTATCTGCTTGCTTGCTTCCTTCCCTTCCTTTCCCTTCCCTTCCCTTCCCTGTTTGATTCAATTTAGGCACCGCCCAACTCCAAACTGACTCTGGGTGGCTGAGCATAGAGATTATATATTAAACAATATTAATATCAATTGAAGATTTTTTTTCTCCATTTGACTATGACAATTAACAATGTCCCTGAGCAACATCAAAACTTAATAAATGAACATTATATTGTGGTTGTAATAGTAAAGGTATTTAGTAATAGTAATAGTAAAGGCCTGGGAAAATAATGATAAAATAAACAGGCCTGAAGAATTCTTACATATCCAAATATTACATTACCTTTGCTTTTCTCTGGAAATTAACTTTAAGGACACCTGTAAGAGCAAAACTTACTATACCAAATAAAACGTCTGTAGATCATATAGATTCCTCCTCTCCCCCCAAAAAATTATATTACTGAATGTAAATAGGATGCAAGTAGATAAAATAGAAACTGACTACATGAGCTTTCAGAATTATAAATCTGTGGTCCTGCCAAAAAAATGAAGCAACCAGGACAATTTCAGGTAATCACGATCTATCTGATTTGTCAATGACAGTAGAAATTATATTGGTTTTTTTTTTTTAAATTTCTGGATGTGTTTTCTAGATATTGACTAGGAATATGCATGAGATGCATGAGACAGAAAACTCTTCTGTCAGAATGAAACTTAAAGTCAGCATGAATGTTCCATGTTTTGTCAGAACAAAATGCAAAATGTGTCAAATATCCAGGACATTAAGAAAAATGGTAACTCAGGACCAGCTGCTGGCTTCTTTTTTATCCCAGAACTACAAGCATAGATGGGATGGTAATCCATGCTGAACGTGATACCAAAACTGAAGAAAATGCAACCAAAACATTTTTTGAAAATATTAAAATACATTATCATGGGAATTACAGCTATGCTCTCACCAGTTGAAAAATCTGTTTAGATTAAAATCTGTTACCAAAATTCCTTCCTCTCACCCCTTCTTAACGAAAAGAAAAGACAGAGATGTTTTCAATTTCTTTAAATAATCCTGGGTCACTCAAGCAACAGGATACAATGCAGTATAGAGTAGTTAAGCTCTTCACCATTCCTTTCAGTTAATAAATATGTCTCCCCAAGTTTTTCAAAGTTTGGGTGTTTTTTGAAAAAAAAAATCTTAGCCATTTTTTGGAGGCATTGCTGATTTCATTTGTTTTGTTTTTTTCAGTGTCCCTGTCACATACAAATGAAACAAAAGCAAATGTATTGGTCTTTCCTGATGTTTGTCCTTATTTGTAGGGATAATTACTGACTATAAAAAGCCACAGAAGCTGTTACCAATACAAGGCAAAAGAATATAGGTAGTCCTCGCTTAGCAACCACAATAGGGACCGGAAAGTTGGTTGTTAAGCAATGCAGTCATTAAGTGAGTCACCACGTGACCGGACCCAATTTTACAACCATTTTATGATGGTCATAAAGCGAATCACTACAGTCATTAAGCAAATCACGTGGTCATTAAGTGAATCCAGCTTCCCCAATGGACGTTTTTGCCAGAAACCAGCAAAAAAGGTCGCAAATCACAATCATGTGACTGCAGGACACTGCAACCGGTCATAAATACAAGCCAGTTGCCAAGTGCCCAAATTGCCATCACACGACTGCAGGGGTGATGTGACAGTTTGCAACGGTTGTAAGTGCAAGTACAGGTCATAAAGCACTTTTTCTGAGGCCATTGTATCTTCGGATCATTGTTAAACGAACAGTCGCTAAGTGAAGACTACCTGTATTCACAGAGTACAACAGATCAGGCAAACCAATATTGTACTAGTATTCTTTACATGTACACAATTTTGATAGCATTAGCAATATTTTTGTGTGAAACCTATTTGTGTTCATGCACACACACACACACACACACTTAAGCCACGGGCTACTTTCACATCATCTCATTCAGTCTACATAATTAACAGCAGTGATATGACTGGCTAGGTATAAAAAGGTCCTTTAAAAAGATTTTAGCCATAGGCCACAAAACAATTGCCCAACTGCAATACTTGGAATAAGCTCACAATAACACCTGTTGAAACAGCCAGGTTTTGTTCCACATTTGGAACTGGAACAAAACAATGTGTTGTCAGGACAGGAAGAAAATGTTGAGCCTAGAAGACCAGCGGACTCCAGATCAGCTGGCAAAGGGTCTATTTACACTGACTGGTTGCCATGTTGTCAGAATGGGACACCAACAATTTTTTGATGGCAGAAACTAGTATCAGCCTTTACTCATCTCCCTTCCATCTTAAATTCAACATCCCTGCACATTTTCCTGCTGCATTTTGAACATAGTCTATTCCTCTTATGATGCCTTGAGCGCTCTTATCTGTTTTGGCTGCATGCTAACTCCAGCAGTTCACTGTCTTCAGAAGGAAGGAACGTTGCTTCAATTGAGCCAAGGTTTACCATTAGCTCTAATATCATTTATTACAACTGCTGTAACAGCATAATCAGTGTAGCTCTTGCTTTGAAAGTCAGAATTTGCTGGTTTAGAAACCCAATATAATATTTTTAATTATTATTTTCTTTCCAAGTTTCCTACTTTTCCCTGTGCTTTTTAAAAATAAGTGTGGATCTACTATTTCACAGTTTTTCCTCTCACCTGAGATGATCAGTAGAGTTGTGTTTTTTTTGCAAACCTCATTGCCTTCAGTCATCTTTACTACTTTGCTATATACACCTTCCCTAATAACTTTTTGAGTGCTTAGGCTCTTCAGTCTAAGGATTCTTTTACCACTACTGCTACCTTCCTCCTGCCCCCTCCCCAAAATTAAGAGTGCACACAAAAACATTTTTTATCAAGAACAGCAGTCCTTCCACGCCATTTGCCATCGTGATATGTTTTTTTTTTGGTTCCTGTTTGTATTCCCTTTTAAGAGGTTCTTGGTCTTTTCAATTCTAACAATATAAAGCCTTTCAAAAAGTAACTGACCATATCTCTTGACAGTATATGAGACATGACTGTCCCAAAGGTCCATGAACGTCCTCCTGTTTCTCAAGTAATCAGAAATGCATAATAAATTCATTGCAGTACAGAGAAAATATTAGTCTTGGTCTTGAATTTCTTCTGTTTTTTTTTTCTTTCATGGAAATCCATTATATCTTTTCCTTATTTTAAATGTTGTATTAGGGACCAAGTCGAAACTTACTGCTCAATGGGAAATCATACCCAACAAAAATCCGGTTAATCCGTGGTGGAACCATATTGCCAGTGAAAAGGAAGAAGATGAATTGGATTGATGCTCCTGATGATGTTTTCTTTGTATCCACTGAGGAAATCAGGTAGTATCTGCATTTAAGAAAAGATCAGAACTAATGTTGGACTGATTGGAACCTTGGCGTTTATGAGAATATTTACTCCCTGCAAAAGAGGAGGGTTTTTCCCACTTATTTTGCAGAAAATTAAAGTATTCTAAAATTCGGGGGGCAGGGATGTCAATTTAAACTTTTCAGTGTCATGTCAATTTAAACTTTTCAGCAGGGATGTCAATTTAAATTTTTCAGTCTATCTTTTTCTTCTTTTTTTAAAAAAATGTGCATATGCAATTTTGCCTAATGCTCCCCCTGAAGAGCAGAGGGAGGAAGGACATTCTTATGCTATTGCAAGATGCCAGGGATGGGGTTGGGGCAGTTAAAAAAAGAAGGGGTAAAAATAGACCCACTGAATATAAACAAACCTTTGCCTCTTCTTTTTTCTTTTTCTTCTGCTTTAACTTCGCACTCTCCCCTCTTCACAAAGAGAGGGAAGTTAAAACAGTAAATGTTCAGGACAACACAAGTAGGAACTACAGTATGACTACATAGAATTCACATATAGTCTCTAACTAAAGTTCTGTACAGAACTGGTAGAAAAGAGGGGGAATGAAGGAAAAACAGGTCTCTTTTTTCTTCCCAAAATATTTGCCACAGCTGAGCTACTTTTACGCAAATGTTGAACTTCGCAAAAAAAATTGTTTCTGTTCTTTTCCATTTACAAACTTAGCTCCATCCTGTGATGTACATCCAGATCAGTTTTTTATACCCACAGATATAGAAGACATGCTTGGGAGTAGGAAGACTTTTACCCAGGAAGTGGGAGAAATTAGATCCTTTGCTAAGTTATGTGTGTATGTGTCATAAGACTATGTGTATTCATCCCCTTTTACAGCTGCTGTACTGAATTGAATTTCTTAGATGCTGCATTATATCCAGTTTTTTCCACCAGGTTGATAATGGGATGAGTTGTGAACATCCAGCTATAGGAACATCTAAATAACATCAGCTTTCAAAATTCTTACTAGCTTGTTTTTCAGGGCAGTTATGGTGCTAATACTGTGTTTCTAACTTTCATTGACAATTTCCACCCTGAGTTTGGTTGGGGAAACTGTATTATTATTAATATAGTTGCATCTGTCTGTATCCTTATGATATTCTTTAGTATGAACCTTAATCATATGCCTTCATAGAAATTTGGAGATTTGTTCATTATGGGTCTGCATGTTGTTTGCAAGGTAGTCCAGAAGGAGTAGTCAATACTGAGATGTCACTTGTTGAGTTCATTAGGGAACTAAACTGTTTCCACTCTCCAACAGTTGAGTGAGTAAATGAGGCTGCTGAATTAGATTGTATGAAATTATAGTATTCATTTCCACCAGTACAATGAGAACATTTAGCTATTTCTGTTTATTTGCAGAACTGATTTTAGGAGGAGCCTTATCTGGGCTCAGAAGCTAAGTAGAGTTGAGCTTGGGAAATACTTGAATGGGAAACTACCAGGAAATACTAGAGTTGTGGAGTATGAAATTAATAAGCATCCCAGAAGAAGACACTGACAAATCACAACCATATGGTTGTCAAGAAAACTGAACGGACGTTTTTATGAAGTCACCTGGAATCAAGCTCAACTTAAAGGAAATTTTACTTCCTTTAATCAATTCATCTATCATATACATAGAATCATAGAATATGGCTTTGGAGATTATCTAATCCAGTCTCCTGCTCATAGCATCCCTGATCTCTGTTTAAATATCTCTGCTGTAGGAGAATCCACTACCTCCTGAGGCAATCTCTTCCATAGTTGATCAGCAGTTACTGTTAGAAAAAAATTTCTGATGTTCAGCTGAAGTCTATTTCTTTATAATGTAAACTCAGTATCTCTTGTCCTGTTTTCTGGAACAACACTGAACAGTTCTGTTTGTCTTCTACCTGACAGCCCTTAATTACAGCTGTTTCTCCTCACAGTTTTTCCCCTCCAGGCTAAACATGTCTCCAACCATTCCTCCCTTCTGTTTTTCCTTCCAGCCACTGTGGTTGCTCTCTTCTCCCCAGTTTGTCAATGATCTTCATAAAATGCAATAGCCAATGCAAAATAAAGACAAATTATGATTTCTGTGGATCTTATTATTGAGTCTGTTGATGCAACCTAGGACAACATTTACTTTTTCTGCAACTGCATCACATTATTGGGTCATATTTAGCTTGTGACCTATCAAAATAACCAGTACTTCCTTTTAGTATGTACTGCTGCTCAGTATGGCCCGCCCATCTTATATTCATGTTTTTAGTTTATTTTTAATCCAAATGTCAGATGTTACATTTGTAATTGTTGAAATTAATCTTGTTGGCCCATTGTTCCAGCCTCTCAAGATCCTCCTGAACCTTGTTATTGTCTTCCAAAGTGTTTGCTATTCCCTCTACTTGTGTTGTTGTTGTTGTTGTTTAGTCGTTAAGTCGTGTCCAACTCTTCGTGACCCCATGAACC